TAAAAGCTGAAGAATTCCAAAGGAACTCCGTTATTTTGACAGCAAAATACAACAAAGAAGATCATTTACGTGTAGCGCGTCAGTTCTCTCTCTCTGCGTGTGTGTGAGACAAAGTGACGGCATGGTGTGCGCCTTCACACTAGAATTTACGGTACGTCAAATACAGGTGTAAAACAAATTAAGCTTATTAGGATTAGAATATTTTTTGAAATTTAATGTTTTTGTGATAATTTTTATACACATTGTGTTTAATCATTAAATGCATTAAAAATACTTCCATTTAGTGCTGGGCGGTATACCGGTTCATACCGAATACCGGTGTTTATTTTTGTTATGATTTGTTTGTTGTTTTTTTTTTTGTTTGTTTCTCAGAAACAAGCAGTGCGCTGCATGAGACAAAAAAGTCATATAGCCAAAACAACCGCATAGCCGCTCTTTAGTGTAGATGCATGTTGATTTTATCAGACGATGCCGCGATTATAAATGAGAGTGACTCCTGGTTAACATGTATTAAAAGGGGTCGTGTTTAGTCACTATTTAGTGTGGTATTTTTTGACAATATTCACTCATCATGACAGTAAAATAGGGCATTCTAAGTCAATATACTGCAGTATTTCCTCTCTCAATCAGTAGAAAATATGGTTAACACCCAGTCATGCATGAAAAAAAATACCGTCTTGTACCGTGAAACCGGTATAATTTTGAAAAATACCGTGATATAAATTTTTGGTCATACCGCCCAGCACTACTTCCATTGTGTTAAAATATTAAGTTTTGTTTATTTACATTGAGATTTTTTTTTTAATTACGGCAATAAGATTTGAATGGTATCAGAGTAAAATGCAAATTCTTTTTTAATTTCTATAGATAGATAGATAGTAGTTCAACTCTTTTATCTGTGTTTTTTTTGTTTTGTTTTCTTCTTCTTCGTGTCAGTGTGTCTAAGCAGCAGGCCATCATGCCCGGTCAGTGTTATGAGCTTGAAGACGGGAGCAGCAGCTTCAAAGACTTTCACGGGAGCAGAAATAACCGTTTCACTTCTCCAGAGCAGGCGGCAAAGAACCGCATTCAGCATCCCAGCAACGTCCTACACTTTTTCAACGCAGCACCTGAGGCTTCACCAGAAACCTTCACCAGGGTCAGTTCACATCAGAGGCAGAACCTTTCTTGTCACGTGATGTTATTTGATGTGTACGTTTACAACCTTCATCTCTTTTCAGATCTGTGAAGAACTTGATGTAAAGAGCCCTGCCAATGTCAAACCTTTTGCAGCTAAAGGTATGTGAAAATGTGCTGTCTTTAACTGAGGCATTGCAAATAACAGCATAGAAAGCTAAGCTCGGCACAAACGAATATAAAATAGTGCACTCTATTAACTTGTAATGTCATCTCTGCTCCTTCGTTGTTGTAATGTGTCCAATGCTTCTTTTCTTTAATGAAAAGGTTCCACATCGGAGAGGAGCTCGTCAGGGCTTCTGGAGTGGGAGTCCGTTAATGACGCCATGGAAGCGCTTGCTATGATGAACCATTACCAGATGAAAAACCCCAGTAAGTGATCTGTTTTTTGTTTTTGCATGAAAGGGAAATTATTTCACTGTTAAGTATATATATCTTGATATGGTTATTTTTGTCTTTAAAAATAAGAACAAAAAAGCAAATTACAAACAATAGGACAAATACAGTTATTTAGTGAAGAGCAGTAATTTTCTGTCTTCTGTTGTTTGGTTAACATTCATGACACAGACAGCAGCATTTAAATTAGGCTGCTCTCCCTTTATGACCGAATACACAGATCTAATATATTGATTAACATCTGATTTTCACACAACTGTTTACTTCGATTTAAGACACAACCTGCTGTGTTCACGTGAAGACTCCACATTTTGACAGCTGTGTGTATTTATCCATTCAAACACAATAAGCCACATAAGTGGACTGAATTTGCGATCACATAATGTCAAATAGTCTGTGTTCAATTTTACAGGACAGTTGTAATTTACAACAGTAGTATTTATATCTTTGTTCTTGCTTCGTTCCTCTCTGCACGCAGCTTTAATGTTAAAAAATGTGTACTTATCCTGTTTCTTTGTTTCCCTCTGCAGATGGCCCATACCCATATACACTTAAGCTGTGCTTCTCCACTGCACAGCATGCAAACTGAACAGCATCTTGTCATCATCATCATCATCATCCCAGTCCCAGTGTCAGCGCTCACTCCATCACTTCATCTTCCTGCTACTTTATTGTCCTTAAAGGCTCATTTGTGTGAGTGGGTGTGCACACGTGTTGAGTTAATCTTATGTTGATTGAGCCACAGCATAAGCTGAGAGTAAAACTGACTGAACTCATTGTTTTTAATGGAAGAGAAGAGTTGAAATGCTTTTGTACCAGTATTGGGGTTTTGTTAACGGTGTTTTTTTTGTTATTTTTTTTTATTGCTTACCATGATTGACTGTTAGTTCTGGGCTCAGCACCTTAGTTTTAGAAATGTCACCCTGTAAAGAAGACGGCATTGTTTTTTTTGGATTGTCAAATTAAAATCGTGATAATGGGTCTCTGTTATTGCTTTTGCTAGGGAACAATTGTGACTCATTTTTTAAAAATGTTTTACAGCAGTTTAAACTTTTTTTTTTTTTTTTTCCCTTTCAAAAGCTGCCTGGATGTCATTGCCCAGTGTATATTTGGAATTTGGAAAATAAAATGTATTCGGTTTAATAAAGAAATAATCTGCGTATTCAAAAATGGCTACTTCCACTTGCAGATAATTGCAGATCAAGCTTGCACATGCATTCATAGGTTTCCAAGAGTCAAGAAAATATTAGACCGTTTTAAAATTGTGATTTCCAGGCTTTGAGAACTCATAGAAATGTAATTGATGTTTCTAATGTCAAGGTACATTTCTCTGATAGTCCTGTGAGTGGAGGCCCAGAAACCCAAATCAGCCAATGAGATGCTTCGAATCAAATCAAATGAATAAAAAAAATTATACACTAATAGAGAAGGTCATGGAAAGGGTCAGGAATCCCGAGGTGATGAATAAATCTTGATGCAGACTAACAGTTACTTTCAAATGGCAGCAGTGAAACTATAATGGACTGATATCTAGCCATTTACAGGGCTTATAACACGAAAAGTCGGATTTTTATTTAAATGATGTAGTGCAGTGTAGTACTCCAAAATAGACAAGTACTTTTGTGTCTGTTTTTTTTTTCCTGTACTGTTCTGTGTTTTTGATTTCTGTGTATAATTTGTATACTCGCAAAATAATAATACATTTTAAAAAGATTCAGTCACAGTTAAGAAGATACAGAATAGATGATATTAATAAACAAGAATTATATATTATTTACGTTGCATATAATATTGATTTTTCACATTTTAAAGTCGATCTGACTTGTTCTCAAAATTGTATAGGTTACTTATGAGTTAAACTAAATTACGAGCAAAACTCGTAGCGCGTTAAGTAAAGAATATACAGAATAGATGAACAAGAATTATATATTGTTATTCTTGTTATTATTAATAAACAAGAATTATATATTATTTACGTTGCATATAATATTGATTTTTCACATTTTAAAGTCGATCTGACTTGTTCTCAAAATTGTATAGGTTACTTATGAGTTAAACTAAATTACGAGCAAAACTCGTAGCGCTAATACATTTTCTATTCTATTTTTTTGAAAAATATCTTATACAAAATAAAGTTAAACTTAATATTTAAAATATAATACTAAAAGTAAGTTTCATTTGCTTACAGTTACAAACACAATGCTTTTCACACACTCTTCAGCGTACAGATATTCCGGAAGTACAGCATGCGCAGGAGCGGAAGTTCAACGTTACGATGTAATCTGCTAGAAAGTTCCCCGGATAATAAGTACAGTGCGAAGGTCAGAAGCGTGCGGACAGAGTGAATTGCAGCAAAGTAATATTAAAATAGCAGGGCTTTCAGCAAGTCTCGGATCTTTTCTGGAATTCGTCATAAAAAAGCAACATGCCCAGAGGAAGCCGAAGCAGAACTTCGAGGATGAGTCCTCCAAGGTGGGTTAGAGAGAAGGTGTGTCAGTCAGTGCTAGTCATGTGTCAGCTAACTGCTAACTTACTTAACCAACAGTTTAATTCAGCAACAAACATCTTAACCATCATTGAGAGCTACAGCTTAAGAATACAAAGTCACCTAATGTCCTCTAAAGCATATTAGTTATTAGCTATTATGATGGTCATGAGCAAACGAGCCGGCGGGTAGTATTTGTTTACAATATCAAATGTATGATGTTACCTATGATTATAAAACACTTTTAATTATTCTCCGCTTAGTCCGCTCTAAAATGTTTCATTAGGTAGTATTCGGTGTAAAGCCGAGAGCATACTTGCAAGTTTCGTTTTTTCGGTTATTTAAGTGCATCATCCAGGTATTTAAAGTGCACTTTTTCATTCTGGAATTTTCAGTGTGAAGAGATGGTCCTCACTGCAGAACACAAGATCCAGGGGGCGTGGTTGGATCCAGATCCAACTCCTCCCACCTTACATATACCTAAACCTACCCGTCTCCACCCCTAAACCTACCCATCTCCACCCCCTAGATGTGGATCCAACCACGCCCCCTGGATCTTGTGTTCTGCAGTTAGGGGCTACTAGAAAAATGCAGTCGTTTTATAATTCTAGAATTTTTTTAAAGTATTATTAAATTATTTTTAATTTTAACATTTATTTTTAATCTTAAAAAATAGGTCTATCTAATATAGGTAAATCATATTGTACAGATATATATTCTGCATTCCCATTTGGTCCCTAATTGCTCCCTAAACTGCATAGCAACAGCATAACAATCACTCAGTACACCCTAGTAACTGCCTAGCAACCATCCAGAACATACTAGGAAGTGCATACCTAGCTATCTATTTGCTGGCTGGCCTTAAAACCTTTCATCTTCAAGCTTTCCAAACTATTTGAAACTTTTGGCCAGGCTTAAATTAGTAAAATATTTTGTTAGGTATTTAAATATAATATTGAACGTTAGATGAGGACAGTTTTATTTAATAAAAAAAATCTGTTAAAAAATAATTCAATTAACAGGCATAAGGAAGTATTTAATTGTTGAGTAATAAATGTAAAATATCTACTGATAAATATCTAAAAAGTATCTAATGTCAGTGAAAACTAGGGGCCTGATACTGGTCTCCTGTACTCGTACTCGTTAAAACGCACCGATACCAAACGCCGATACCACACAGCATGTGATAAGTGCCGTATTCAGACAAAGAAACACCGACAACAGAACAACAGAAAGCAGAAAGGAGTTAAGGATGTCTACTACGAAGTATATGTATGCAATGAATATAATGTTAAACATTCAGTATTAACGCCTGTATAGCTGATGTGCGCGAGTTGATAA